GGCAGCTGCTGGAAACCCCTCTTCTTCCCCATCTCAGGCCTTGGCAGGTCCAGCTTCCTGTCTCTGTTGCTACTGCCCCCCTGCGGCCACCGCTAGATGTCTCTGGAGAAGGAGCCATGGGTGAGTCACCCACGATCCAGGGACAGCAAGAAAAGGAAACTGTTGTGTAGCAAGGAGTTCTGACAGACCTCACCTCAGAGCCTAAGTGCCCAGCTTGAAGAGACCAGAGAGAGGAGGAAAGGGGAGGGAGGAGGAACAGGGGACTCTTAGTCAGGAGCCAGCAGCTTTGGTCTGCACTCTGTCCGTAGCTTTGTGACCTTGGACAAGTCATTTCCCTCTCTGGGCCTCAGTTTCTACCTCTGAACAACAAAAGAGGTGGATGTGATGTTCATGAAGTCCTTCTACGGCTGGCCTTCTCCTACCCACAAGCTGGGGCCCATGAGGGGGCAGCTGGTGGCCAGAGAGGAACTGCCTCCAGGACCAGATGCTCAGGTAGCTGAAGTGGGGTACACGCAGGCCCAGGGAGGGGGAGTCAGCTAAAGACACACACAGGTGAGAGCTCAGATACGGCTTCGAAACTCCGGGTCAGCTGGCAGGGAAGGAAGGGGGCGAACAGCAGTACTGGACCTTCTAAATGCCCACTGGGGTCCTAAGGGCTGCCGGGGGGCCAGTCTTCCTACACTGCCACTGTCCGGCTATGATGGGACCTTACGCAAGTCACCTCATCTCTCTGTCTCAATTCCTTCATTTCTAAAATAGATATTTATGGTCATACCTTCTTTGAGATCTACTTCTCAGTGAGAGAAAGGGTGCAGAATTGCTCTGAAAGGTTCACGGCCTGAGTAGGCGAGCGAGTGGCCCGTTTCTTCACAGGCCTCATGCCCTGGTTTCCGTACCGGTCCCTCCCACCGAGCTGTGGCAGCAAGGGCCCAAGGCCACATGCCAGATGAGCAGGCATTTATGGCGGGGCTGCCTGGCCCATGGGTAGTTGACCTTGGGGGTGAGGGGGCTTGTAATATTTTCTCCTCCACAGCTCTCAGGTTTCTGCCTGTCCTGCCACAGTCCCATGACCTGTCCCTTTGACTTTGGACAGGGTCACCCCACTCTGCTGGTGCCTCCCCTCAGGCTTAGTCAAGGGAAGTACCTGACGCTGGTAAGAATGTCTCTAAAGGGGCCCTGCCCTGGAGAGGAATTGGGGGCGTGATGAGACATGCAACTTGGTGGAGCAGAGAGGTAATCTGCTGGGAGGGTTGTTGTGCCCCATCCCATATCCTGTAAATCAAGCCCAGCAGCTTCCCCCCACCCACCATCTACACAACCTGCCTGGCCTTTCCTCCTTCCCCAGCATTGCAGGAGGATGTAGTCATCCTCCTGTCCCGAGCCTGGGAGCAGCCTGTGTCCTTGACTCCTCCCTCTCCTCCCCGTCCTTGTACCGCCCAAGGCCAGTCCACTCTAATTCCCTACTCACAAGCGGACCCTGTCACCTCCCTCCTGCGCTACCGGCGGACACCCCCTTGCTTACCTCGTTTCACAGCTCTCCACCCCACCCTTCCAGCCAGCAGCTTCACTGCACCCACGTGTATCTGCCTCCATACAGGTGCCCCTCAAAGGCCTGCAGCGGCACTCTCCCCGTTTCCTACAGTAAAGCTCCCCCTTAGACATGCCAGTGGTCCCGTGGGAGAATCTGCTCCCTCAAGAACAGAACGTAACCTTCTGGCCACACCTTTGCCCAGGCTGAAATCCCCTTCCCTGCACGAATATCCTATTATCTTTTAAGATCCAACTCAAAGATAAGAGGTGGGTGTGGTGTTCGTGAAGTCCTTCTACCGCGGGCCTTCTCCTACCCACAACTTCACTTTCTTGGCTGACTCCTCCCTGACACCGTTAAGAGAGTACTTTTAAAATTCTGCTTTGTGTTGAACTAATCCACTTAGTCTCAAGGACAAGAACTGGGGTCTAGTCCTGACTGGTGTGGCCCAGTGGGTTAGGTGTCATCCCACAAATCAAAAGGTCGCTGGTTCCATTCCCAGTCAGGGCACATGCCTGGGTTGTGGGCCAGGTCCCCAGTTCGAGGCATGCAAGAGGCAACTAACTGGTCAATGTTTATCTCACACATCGATGCTTCTCTCCCGCTCTTCTCCTCTCTCCAAAATAAATAAATAATTTTTTTAAAACAGCATTGGGGTCCCCACAGCACTTTGTGTTGGGACTTGAAGGCTAGTTATAGTCCCCTCCCTGCCAGTTCCTGCTGCAGGTGTAAGAGCCAACACCCGCTGCTCCCATACTAGTTCACAGAGGCCCCAGCTTCCCCCTTAGAGCTTAATAAAATAAAAATAACTACTATCTTCAACAATGCTCTATAGTCTGAAAAACCTTTCCACTTACTTTCTAGTGACTTATTTTACCCTCACAACAACCAATGAAGGGGCTGCCTACACTTTCACTTTAATGATGAAAATGCAAGGAGGGGCATTGTGCCCAAGGCTCTAGGTTAGGCCGTGGCAGAGCCCCAGACTGTGTTTTCTGATCCCAAAGCCTGCCCAGGGCCAAGGTCTAGTTAGAAGGGAGCTGGGTTGGGCCTCTCTCTGGCCCAGAATAAAGAACAGGTGAGTGGGAAAAGAGCCCATTTTGTCCTGATGGGCAGGGCCTGTTTTGGAAGCCAAGGATTGCCAAAGAGAAGGGCAGCAACCGTAAGGGAAAGCTCACATGGGAAGGCATAGGGAACTCAGACAACACAAGAATTGGTGACAAGGGGCTTCTGTAGCTCAGAAGGCTGAGTGCTGAAATGGGAGGGAAGGACCTGTCGTCTGGATTTAGGCCAGTAACACCCTCAGCTCCATCCTGCAGTGTCCCTACTAGACCTGCTGTGAGCATGCAAAGCATGAAAGGATCAGGAACATCTGTGCCCCAGAACAAGACCAAAAGAGATGTCCCCGCATCAGGGTAGCCCCAGAAAGTTCCCATGGCAACAGCTAGCCAGTCCAGCATCTGTCCTTGGGCCCAGTGGTGGGGAGGGAGGGGCTACTGGGGAGCAGTTAATCAACAGGAACACATGCCTCTGACCCTCAGGGAGATTATGGGAGTGGTACAGGCCTGAAGGTGGCCCACCACCAAATTCCAGCCAGCTCCCCAACAGTCACCCTGGGCAAAGCCTGGGTCCTGGGGGCCCTGGGAGACAGAGAGAGACAGGGAGAGCCTGGGGGAGTTAAGGGCTGGAGGCTGCACGGTGAGAGAAAGCTGAGCCGAGGCCATGGGGGAAGGGCAGCTGAGGAAAGGAGGTGTGACTAAAGAGTGAGGGAGGGAGAGATGGCAGATCGGGGGATGGCAGGGGAACAAGTGTTGGGAACTGGCCAAAGGAAGCAGAATTTTCCCATTTAAGAGCGGAAGGCACAAGAGGGCCACTCCCTACTCCAGTGGTTCCCCCCAGGCACCCAGAGCTGAGCTCTTAGCTGGGGAAATGCCCAGAGGAAAGGGCAGAAAACCGAGGGCTCAAAGTACCAAGTCCTCACACTGGAAGGGCCCAGAGCAGACCCTGGGAGGCCAAGCAGGTCTACCCACAGGCTTCCTGTTCCCCAGCCCAGCCACAGCTGTCCTCAAGCCCCGTGGGAAAGGAGGAATGCTGTCCCCCAGTGGCAGCCTCCCGTGGCTCATCTCCACACACTGGCCCACGATCAAGAGCGCATCGTCTGACCTGGGACCTGGGGCCCGGTCTTGACCAGTGCTGACGTGGGTGTATGGGTGTGACGGAGAGAGGGGCCGATGACCTATGCGGGGCATGAGGATTACCTGCCAGGACGCCCCAGAGAGAGTGTCATCAGAGTGGCCAGTGTCCCCGGTGTCCTGGCCCTCCCCAGTATACCCCTTGGGTTCCTGGCTCTTTCTCCCTGGTCTGATTCAGCAGTTTGAGAAACCTGTAGCTCAGCATATCTTCTTCCTGAGTGGGAAAAGAAGAGGGGGTACTTGGGGGAACTTCCTAGCCGGAGAGTCTGTTATGCAAATGAAGGAAACGGGCCCTAGAAATGAAACTGAGAAGCCCCAAGTGGCCAAAGTGAGAGCCAACAAATACCCTCTGGAAACCCAGGGAGGCCAGGCTGTGTTCCCCCCCCTAAGCCCAGCCAACTCTCCCCAAGACACAGAATCCTGCCTACCTTCTAGCCTGAGGCCCTCTTCCGGAAACCCAAATTTACCATCCGCATACATCTGAGCAAGATGAACAGCGTAAGCTGGCCTCCTCATTAACAACAATGGTCCACAGAATTGGGATGCCAACTCCTGACTCTGCCTCTCCACCAACTTGTACTTGCTCCTCCCAACCCCTTCTCCAGCAACGGAATAATCCTTTTGTACAGCAACCCCCAATCCCTACTATTAACTCTCTGCCTAGGAGATTCTTCACCAGGTCTCACTGCTCTCCCTTTTGCTGTAGAAAGCAAGTACACAACAGACCGTATGAATGTTTGCTGAATGTGTGGTCCTTGTTGCATTCCCAGCCAGCCCTGCCCCGAGCCCACCCCACAGCTGAATTAAATACACTCACAGCTCTTTAGTAGTGAGTGGCACATTATGAAGCTACACAGTTACATAAGCACTTGCTATCCATTAGAGCCCCTTCTGAGCCTGCAGGCCCTCTCCCTTTTACTAGCACTTCTGGCCTGGCCTGAAGTCACACCTCATCCTGCCCCCTAGGGGATTCCTAGGGTATCAAGAAGCCACCTCAGGGTGGACTTCCTAAAGCATAGCCTAAAGGAGACTGGGTCTTCTTGGGAAAGCTAGCTAGTGAATAGGTCCAAGTCAGTGGGGTGGGGTGCAAGATTTGGGGCACTTACGCAGTGGGGGAGCCAAGGTCTGGATCAAATGCAGGGCCAGGGCGCCACCTAGTGGCTCCCTCACCTCCCCAACACAGAAGCCTTGCATGGGGGGTGGGGGTCCTTCCCTCCCTCAAGAGTGAAATAATTTTGAGTGCCAAATAATAGACAGACATTTTTGCTTACATTGCTTTATTTAATGTCTCCCCAAGCCCTTCAAACCCCTTTTATGAGGATAAGAAACACAAGGTTCCTGGAAATCCACTTGCCCAAGATTACTCAGCCTGGATTTGAGCCCAGGGCTTGGATGCCAAAACCCATGCTCGTTTTTCTGTATCTTGCAAGGGTGTAGGCAAGGCAGCTGTAAGCAAATGGGGTGTTCCAGCCCAGGGGGCCTGAAGCTGTTGGGAGGGTGAGAAAAGGGAAATGAGTATATGGCAGGCGGCAAGTGCCAGTGCCTACGAGGCAGTGGGAATGTGTATCCCTGCACTTAGAAACAAGTAACAGAGACCCATCCGGTGTCACAGCTCCAACAGCTCTTTATTGGGATCTGAATTTACAGTCAAATGAGGAGGTGAGGCCATGTGAGAAGCCAGTGTAAGAACGGGACTTCACCCCCTGGAGATAGCTGCTTCCAAATCTAATAAAACCCCAGGGAAAGCCCTGATTCTGGGCCTTCAGCCAGCAATTCTCAAACCCCAGAAGGCACGGGTCAGGGGCTGGGGCCCAGGGCCCACTCTGCCACTCTGGGGCAGGACACACACCAGAGGTGGAAAGCTCTTTGGTTTCAGAATCAGAATGCCTTCCCCCGCTTCTCCCCATCCCATCTCCCCAGAAAACAAGCTCCTCTCCCACCCCCTTTCACATGTGGCACGGCACAATCAGCCTGCCAAGGGTCGCGGCTCAGGGCCCTGGACACTCGTGGGCATTCGCACAGAAGACAAGGCAGGCCCAGCTAAGGCCTTTTTCTAGAGAAAGTGGCACCAGTGCAGGGCTAGGCGATTTTGCTCTCCTCCAAAGCAGCCAGGAGAGATGGCAGTTTCTAACAGTCCCCAGGGTCACACAGCAGCAGGGCTCAGCCCCTGCGGCGGTGACTGTGCTCCTCCCCGGGCCCCACGACTCTGGGGCTCCGAAGGTGCTTGTCTTTCTTCCCGGACCTGTGGGGTGACAAGGGGGCAGGGCAGGAAGAGACCTTTAGAGAATAACGCCCTGTGCTGAAAAAGGGTTCCCTGAGGAGCACCCTTTCTGCTAAGGCAGCCACCCCAGGCAGCCGCCACCAGTCATACTGAGGGCCAGGCCCAGTGTCCCCGGATGAAAGCCCCGGCTGCGGGCGCAGGAGCACTCTCCCCGACACCCTGGGCCATGTGGACGCAGGGAGAACGGCACAGCTCGGGAAGAAAAATCCCCAGGCCCAAAGGGGACTCCTTTCAGGCGAGCACAGGGAGCTTCCTGCCCTCGAACCCGAATGCATCTGGATGACTTACGAGAAGCTAGTAAGGGACTTAAAGTGGAGGTAAGGACTCAAACTGAAAGGCCCTGGACTCAGAACCCTTGCTCCTTCACATACACCCCTACGTCTCCCCTTCCCCTCTGTCCCACCAGACCCAACACCCCCATAGCTGCCCACCTCTTCTTCAGTGCTTTGTCTCCAAAGAAGTGGCTGAAGATAAAGTCCTCAAAGTCATCCACCTCATCGTCATCACCTGTCTGTTGCACCGCCACCTCCTCTAGGCTGTCCTCCAAGGCATCCACAAAGTCCCGAAAGCGGAGACGGTCATGGCGGAAGATGCCATCCTCACCGAAGTAAGCTGGCGAGAGGGGTAGCTCCTCCGTCAGCTGCTTGGCCCAGGGCAGCCGTGCCAGATATGTCCTCAGCAGAGAGGCCATCTCCTGATGCCGAACGGGCGCTAGCTCAATGCCAAACAAGGCCAGGCCCTCCTGTCGGGCACACTCGTGCACGCCCAAGCAGCCCTGGGGTGCCCGGTACTTGTGCCTCGTGAGCTCTGCCCAGAATGGCTGCGGGTCATGTCTGTCTTTAGCGCCCTCCTTCCACTGAGGGTGCTTCTGCTTTTCTCCAGGGGAGTGGGGACTCCCACTTTTCCTGGAGGGCTCCTTGGGGCCCTGTCGCTTACCATCCTTCCTGCCCCATTCCTCTGCCTTTGGCCTGCCCTCCTTCCACCTCCCTGCCAGCTCCACATCCTCCTCACTCCTCCAGCTCTTCTTCTTTTCCCAACCAGATTCCTCCTTTTTATGCTTCCCGTGCTCAGCCTTCCGGTCCCCCTGCCCATCCCTCCACTTCTCCTTTCCACTCCCCTCTCTGGAACCCTGGAAGCGGGGCTCCTGATGCCAGGCGTCTGAGGCATTGGCAGAGATCCCCGGTTGCTGGTCCCAGCTCCCCAGACCCTGCAGCTTCTGGGCCAGTCTGTGGCCCAGCTCAGCAAGGCCAGCGTGAGCTGTGTCCCCTTGGCCAGCATCCCTCAAGCTCCGCTCCAGGTCCTGCTGTACAGACCCCAGGAGCCGCCGCTGCCTCTCCAACTCTTGCCTTAATGCCTGGGCCTCGGCCTCTAGCTGTTCCTTCTGCTCTAGGAAACCAGTGCCTGGCTCCTGCCCCTGAGGGCCTTGATCCTTGGTGACCTTGCCACCTTGTGGACCTCTGCCCCAGCTGACGCACACCCCGTCTGTCCCCCGGATGCAGTCGGCCTCCAGCCCCTGGAGGCGGGCCCGCAGCTGCTGCAGCTCCGACTCCAGGGCCCTCTGGAAGGCCTTGCCCTGCTGCAGGGCCCCTCGGAGCCGAGCGTTTTCCTCTTCTAGCCCCTTGGGCTGGTGCATCAGGCTCTGAAGCTCTTCCTTCTGGGCCTGGAATGGGTGTAGAGACGGAGGGTAACCACAGGAGGGTCTTTTCAGGACAAATCCAGTGCCTTCTACCCCAGTTCTATTCCAGTATAGTGGGCAGGTGGCCTGAGGCCCTTTCATGGCCTGGGACACTCAGAGGATTTGGTTCTAGTCCCTCTCCCCCATCCACAACCTGCACCAGACCCTGGGGTCCCCAAATTCCATCGGAGGCCTCAGCTTCTATGTCCTTATATAAGCACACACTTCTTCAATTCACCTAAGGATAGCCAACGTGTGGCTCTCATTGCCTTGTTTCCACCTGCCGTGCCCAGAACAGGCATAATTATTAATCGATCACAGTACTCCTTTCCCACTGAGCCTTGGCAAGTTCTTCAAATCCTTCTCCACACAATGCTCTAGGCAGACCATACCAATCAATCAGGAGTGGCATGCCACATGAAGCACGTATGCCGGCCCTCGCCTAATCTTTAGCGTGAGAGAGATGAGCAGAGAACTAGGAAGATGACCTCGCTATAGTAGGAAACAAGGAGGGCTAAGATGTGTGGGTGCATGGGAAGTTTCTTTCTGAGGGAGGACACCAGGACACCTGACCTAGGGAAGGCTGGCCTAGCCCGCCCCTTCTGGCTTGTGCCTACCTGCAGCTGGGCCTGCAGCAGGCGGATGTCCTGGTTCTCCTTGGCCAGCTTGTCCAACAGAAGAGCCATGTTCTGCAGGCTGGGGACACTGTCAGGGGGTGCTGAGGCCTGCAGCTGCTGCCTTAGCCCATCCTGAGGGCAAAGGAGCCATTACCCTACCCTGCCCCTCAGCCCTGGCAGCCCCGGATTCCCCTGACCAGGCCAGCACGCTGAGGGACACGTTCACACAAACCTGCGCCTCCACAGCATCCAGCGTCTTCGCGTCCACTGTAGCATCTGGAAGGACCTGCAGATCCACTTCCTCCACAGGCCCTGTGGGAAAGTCAGTCCGGAAACGGGATCCAAGGCACAAAGAACCCACTCCTCCCATACACACACAGGATCACCCTCCTGCCTGGACCCACCCGTGACTGAGAGGTCCAGCCAGGTAAAGAGCCAACGGTTGCTCTGAACAGCCAACAAGGCATAACTGAGCAATAAATGTACAGGCCCCAGCCTCCCCACTTCTGACCCAAAGAGCTGCCCCCATCAGCCTCCCTCAGGGCTGGGAGGGGAGAGACGCCACCAGGCCAGGGCCCTTCCCACTCACCATTCTCCAACTCTGAGAGGCCACCTGAGGATGGAGACAGAGCAGCCTGGTGAGGCCCTCGGCGGCCAGGGGGCGGGGCGGCGGGGCAAAGGGCAGGAGGACAGGAGGGGCCAGGGTGGGGGCTCAAGGCCTCAGGAGGGGAGGCACCACTCACCAGAGAAGAGGAGGATCCCTAGGCCCAGCAGACCCAGGGCCCCGAGGAGGCACGTGTTGAGGGAGATGCCCAGCTCCCCGCGTGCGCCCTGGCCTCTGGCCTCATCCTCCACACCCAGGGGCGCCGCAGGCTGCGGAGCACCGGGCTCCCGGCCTCGCCGTCTCCGCAGGCCCTCCACGTCCACATCAGTGTCATCCTCGCTGCTGGTGCAGCGGGCCTCCTCCCTGATCCAAGCTGGAGGAAGGGATGGGGACAAAGCAGTGAAGCAACTGGAGAGATGGGACACAGGAAGAGAGGGAACTTGGGGGAAGGCATGGGGAGGCCCCCAGCCCTGATCATAGAAAGGGGATGTCTGCCCAAGCATCTGTGACCACCCCTGCCCAATCTAGGGAGGGGAAGCTGGTCCTTTCAAGAGCGACTTCATCCTAAAAACACCCCTCTTCCCCCTACCACCTCCTCTAGGATGCCTTACATCAAGCCCCTATAGCTACTACCACCCTCCTGGGTCAGCCTTAACTCTTTCCAGTCCCTCTCTGGCTCTTCCTGGCCCCAAAGGCAGTGGTCTCCTGACACCATTTCTATTCTCTGCTCTTCTCACTGCGCACACAGTCACCCGCTGTCTCTGCCCCACCACTGACAGCCCCTAGAGCAGATGACTCTGTAGTGCCCAACCTGGCCCCTCTAGAGGCCCAGGTCCAGGTGTCTGCCTGCCCATGGGTCACTCCTACCCGGATATCCTGTGGGGACCAAATACTCAACACACTGCCCTCCAAACTGGTTCTCTCCCGGTGTTCCCCCAACTCAGGGAAAGGCATGCTGCAACCATCTACCCAACCTAAGCCTTCGCGTCACCTCCAGACAATTCGACACTTAAACATCTTGACATCACATGCCTTGTATGGGCCACAGTTCAAGTTCATTGGCTTTCCCTGACCACTGCAGGTGCCTCCTAAACGGCCCGAGGCCCTGGCCCTCCCTCCGCGCTATCACTTTCAACACAGATGAATTCATACACTCCTCTGCCGCAAACCTTGGATGCCACCTCCTTGGCACAGGACGGGTGGCCCCCAGCCCTTTGCTGATGCTGCAGCCTTGGCCTGGCATGTTCTCCTCCTCCTACCTCACCTACCAAAAAGCCTACTCTTTGCTCCAGGCTCCACTCAAATGTCACCTCCACTGTCAACCTTCCCCAACAACACCTGCATCTCCTTTCCCCTCAACCTGTCCCCTCCCTGACCGAAACACCCTCCTCCCCCACCATGGAAGCAACTTAATTATATCTTCTTTTGCATAGGCCATGAACCATTTACTCTTCCTACTTCCCCGAGCAAAGAGCTAACACATGGTAAGAACTCAGGGGATGAGAGTTGAATCTAGAGGCAAGAAAAGAGGAGGCCCCATGGCAAGGAGGAGAGAGTCCACCAGACCTGGACGCTGCCACTTTTCAGCTGTGCAACCTTGGTCAAGTCACTTAACCTCCCTGGGCCTCAGGGGTGGTGGTGAGGACTGACTGATATAATTTAAGGAGGCACCGAGCTACTAAGTCCTAGTGCCTGGACCAGAGCTGTGCTCAGCAGTGAAGGCTACTCCCAAAACCACACCTTCTAGGAGGACAGTGCCAAAGGGAGACAAGGAGGACTCACCTGCTTTGGGGGATGCAGGCAGAATCTGTTCCAAGCTCTGATCCTCCAGGTCCTGTGTGTCCAGTCCCTGGTCTGCCACCACGGGGGTCTCCTCTAAGTCTCCCAGGATCACTGTGTCTCCTGAGCCAGGTGACTCCACACCATGGCCATCACCTTCCAGGACGCCCTGATTTAGACACAGCTGTGAGCAGCTCCTGGTCCTCCCTACTTCCTTCCCTTTCCTCAGTGAAGGTCCTCACCTTGGCCTCAGTCTCCTCTGGCAGAATGGGATCAGACTGGGAGCTTTCACTCTGGAAGAGGGTCTCTGCAGTGAAAGAAAAGGCCCAGGGAAAACACCACAGCCCCCCAACTAAACTTCCTACACAGCCCTCTGGCTCCTGCAGGCCTCAACCAGGTTGGAAGAGGCTGAGAAAAGCCAGGATGGAATGAGGGGAGAATATCTTAAACTGAGATTAATGTGGGAAATAAGACTAACTAGCTTCCCTTTCCCTGATGAAACTAGGAACCCCAGAACATGGAAGAGAGATGGTCGCACCCTACCCTCCGCAAGGGCCTTTTACCTTCTCCATCCAAGGTCCCAGCTAATTCTTCGCCATCTGCCTTGGAGGAGCTCCCAGGGGTCTGGGGAGCTCTCTGAGGCTCCGGGTCCATCCCGGACTCTGGGCCCAGGGTCTCCACGGGCAGGCTCTGGGGGAAGGCGGGCAAGCAGGAGGTGCTCCAGGGTCTCTCGGGCCAGCTGCACTGCTCAGGGGCCCCACCCCTCATGCCACAGAAACACAATGCATTGGGTAGCGGGCTGATCCAAAGCGAGGCAGGGGCGAGGGGATGAGCTGGCACTGCAGCATCAAGCTCGGTGTCGTGTCTGGCCCTTCCCTAACCTCACTTGCTGCTCTCGAGAACTTTCAGAGGCTCGGTTTCTATTAAACCAAGAAGCACCACTGGACCAAGGCACTGGACACCAAACAAACCTGTCCCCCACGCAGAAGCTGGGCACATAGAGCCAGGGTCTCCCTACCCTCCAACATCATCAGCACTTCCCTCCCTCCCCACAAATGACGAGTTATTAGTTGTAAGGTGGGAGGGTGGCAAGAAACAAAGTCCCCTGGTGCCTAAGGGTCACAGTCAGGTCCTCCATGGGTTGCTTCCCTGCAACTGCCCTCACAATAGGCCGCCCACTTCACTAACATCTTCTAAGTTTTACTGGCTTTTCCCACTCCCCCACCCCCTCCCACTAGCTGCTTGCAGAAGCCCGCCCCGCCCCGTCCACCCTAGCCGGTCCCGCGGTGCCCCGAGCCTGGCTATCCAGGCCCAGCCTCTTCCCTCTCTACACGCGCACTCCTCCTTACCCTAGCCAGGGCTCCCGCCACCCCTCCAAGAATAATTCCTGGCCTTAGAATGTTTCTTTGCAATTTTGAAATGACTTTTTTTCTCATGGCCCCCTCTACAAGGCAAGAATCGCAACCCATCCTTTCTACAGGGGAAGACAGCAAGGTATAATGCACAACTGTTCACAAAGGCACCCCAGGGCTCTGGCTGAGTGTCCGCCCTCTCCTACTGGCGAGCCCCAGTCCATGTGCCCTGCTTCGGCCTCGTCCCGGAGGACAGCTTCTTCCCCCCTCCTCCAGGGCACTCAAACTCCACGTGCCTAACTCAGCTCCTCGCGCTCTCTCCTGGCAGTTCTAACATACCAAGCCACTGGCGCTTGGATCCCTTTACGACCTTTCTCCGGCCACTCAGTCCTCTATCCTGCCGGGCCTTTCACCCTTCTCAGTGGCTTCAGGAGCCCAGGAGTCCACTGGGTCCCTGCCCCAACAACTACCACCTGGACTACAGGATTTTCAAAATGCTCTCCGCCTATTCACCCCCAGCCCACACAGTCACTTCGTCCTCTGCTGAGGCAACGCGTGTCCCGAGTCCTTCAGACTCAGAGCCCTTCAGTGATTTCCCATCGGGACGAGCCCCGAATGCCCGAGCCAGGCCCTACGGAGGTTCTGTCCCAGAGGTGCCAGGCCCTGCCCCTAACCTCACTCCAACACTCTGACCCACGTCGCAACCTTACCCAATGGGCCTCCTCACAGTCTCCCCCAGAATGGCTTCCCCGCTGTGCCTCAGATCCTCTGCTCATGCTGGTCTCCCTACCAAAATCTCTTTCTGCCTTCTCACCGCTTACCACAGCCGTCGGTGCCCTTCTCTCCGGGCGCGGCCAAGCCCCAACACCTGACTGCTGAGGCTGACTTCCTTCTCCCGACACCGCAGTCCCTCTCACAGCAGCAGGGGATGATGCAGGCGACCATAAAGACCAAGGAAGGGACAGACCCAGAAAGCAGCCCAGCCCTGCAGGAAGCCCCCTCCACGTGGTTCCCAGGCCTGCTTTTCCTACCTCTGAGCTGGCAAGCAACCAGCTGTTGTCCGAATCTGGGCAGGAGGCCATAGCTGCTGAAGGCCCTGAGGCTGCTGTGGCTGCCACCTGCGGAGAAAAGCTTCAGCACCCCTGTTCCCTTCAGGAGAGGCAGGATGCAGGGGACAGCCTTGGCTGGGTGGCAAGGTTTAAGGGCTGGGCAGCAGCTTCCAGACCAGCCTGGCTCCAGTGCTCCTGACCCTAACAAGCCTCTGGGGCTTGGATCCCTTTACAGACTTTCTCCAGCCACTCAGTCCTCCATCCTTCTTCTTCTCAGTGGCTTCAGGAGCCCAGGAGTCCACTGGGTCCCTGCCCCAACAACTCTGTTAACAGCCACACACAGCCACGGGGGATGGGGAGATCATGGCAGACCAGCAGAGGAGGGCCTTCAACTCTGTCGGGCAGTTTTTGTCTTGCAAATCAGAACTGTGGACAGCCACAGAGAAGCTAGCCTCTCCCAAGGACCAACAGGGCTTTGGGAAACTGAACTGACCTTGAAAGGTCGAGATGAATCAGAGCGCTGGAAAGGCTTTGGGGAATAACCGAGCCAACTACCTCAAGCTATGGTCAGGGCACACGAAGGCCATGAAGTGACTGACCTGACTGCAAAGACAAACAGCGAAAAAGAGCGAGGAAAGCAAGCCAGCTCTCCCTCTACCCCAACAGGCTCCCCCCAACTCATTACCTCCTCCTCCCAAGGCGAGGAAGAGAAGGCTCACGGCCCCCTTCAGCCCTGCCTCCCACTCACGCACCCACCGTAAGTCCTTTGCATAGTCTAGGTCAAGGGTTCCCAACACTGGCTGCACACTGGAATCACCGAAGATTCCCATTCCACTGCTATCAGGGTCAGGCTCAGGCATGGATCTTTTTAAAAACCTCCCAGATGATTCTCACCTGCAGCCAAAGCTAGCGTAACTGCCACTGTTTAGCTCCATCTGAATGTACCTGTGGTAAATCTTCTGTTACCCTCACTCTCCATTTTAAATCCTGTTCCCATCTTAGTTTCATCTAAGAGAACTTAAAGGTGATTGGGGAAAGGGCTTTATGGCAACTGTCATGTATAAAGACTTTACAGTTTTTAAAGCATGAACCAAAATCAAGGCTGTGGTCCTGCCCCTGCCGATCTGCTCTGACTTGGCAGGGTGGGCGTGGGAAGTCCCTCCAGCTTCCAAAGCCTGACACAAAGGGCGGTAAAAGGAGAAGGGCCTACCCCTTCATCCAAGGCCCAGAGTGTCCCCTCACCTTGGGCAGCTGCAGCTGGAATCTGGCATTAATGTGGAGGATTAGAGAGAGGCTGACCCCCCGGAGTCTTGAACTATGATCCTTCAGAGGAGGATAAATAACTTCTTACTGGGGGGCAAGAAGAGTGGACTCTGTAAGGAAACCCTGGGGGAGGGCAGGGAGGATGGGGAAGAGGGTGGCAGTCCTACTTTGGGAAACCACATGCTGCTCCCTTACATATGAACAGGTGTAAGGCACACAGTAGCCCTTCAAGATCCAAGCCCACGACAGATGAAAGACACCTCAGTGTCTTTCCCTCTGCTTGTGTCTCTCAGACACACACACCCACCCCGCAAGGAGACAGGAGAATGGCTGAAATGACTCCCAATACCAAGCCCAACAGGCCCCCCCCCCCACCCCTGGCCGCAACCAGCTTCTATAGGCCCCCACAGAGCCATCACTGTGCAACCTTCTGCTCTCAGGCCCCTCCTCCACTGCTCTGTCATTATCTCCCCATCCCCAGTTGCTGTGTGTGACTGTTAACAGGTGGTGGCAGGAAGGAAGTGGCAGCAGCTTGGGCTGAAGTCCCTGTTTATCCCTGGCTGTGTACAGCCTGCTCAGGTCCTCCAGAACCAAGCACCATGGTAACCAGCCTGTGATGTCAGACCCACCATCTCCATGGAAACCAGCAATGGTATTTGGGTCAACAAGACAAACACTTCTGAGATCCAAATAGGAGACAGTTCTGGAACCGTTGCACTCAGGGTTCTAACCCTGGTACCTCTCTTGGTTGGGTTCACCCAAGATTCCAGAAGATCCCCCTGTTCTCCCAAGTCAACTTTTCACTGCCTTATTAGGAAGTTCCTTTTGCTGTCTAACCTCTATCCTTCCCCTTGGTGTTTTCAGATCTCTTTCTTACCATCGATCTCAGGGGAGAAAACCCACCACCACCCGCTCCTCCACTACCCTCTCTCTTTTCATTCAGGCAGGAGTCAAGAAAAACATCCTTCAAGCATTGTCAGAGACTTCTGCTATTTCTAAAAGACAGCTAAAGAGGGAGCTCTCCCACTCTGTTCAAAGATGGGAAGGCTGGTCTAGTTAATTTCAACCCCTCTAAGACTTGCTCCCCCAAGCCTCTAAAGCAAAGAACTTAGGGCCACAAGTACTTGCCTGAGGACCCAGAGCAAGTTCCTGTTTTGGCAAAAGCAGCCCATGGTCCCCTCGCCCCCATTCCAGCAGTGACAGCAGCTCTGCAGATACTCGGTGGAACCCAACCCTTTTGAGTTCTGCCTTTCGTCTCCGTTACCCTCCCTTCCCACAGCAGGTGTGTGGGCTCTCCCCGCGCTAGGGTATTACCTGACCCAGCTCTTGCTTCTGTCTTCAGCTGAACTTGTTGCGGCCTCCCTCGGTTCCCAGCCCCAGAAAGCTAGAGTGTCATGTGACCCGGGAGTGACCAATGGGAAGTCAACTTCCCTGATGCGGGGGGTGGAAACTTCTGACCAATGAGAACTGGAGTTGAGAGCCTGGGAGGAGAAAGGGGAACCTTCACAGCCCAAAAACCTGGGCTTACCTCCCGGTGGGGGACTGGAATTTCAGCAAATTGAATTTTAGGTGACCATCCCTCCTTTCCCAGTGTCTAGTTACTAGAAAGAAGACTCAAAACTGAAAGGCAAACGGCGGCATCTCCGGAGACGACAGAGACAAAAGCCCAATTGGTTACAGGATAGACATGGGCAGCTGCAGGATGGGGGAGGGGAGAGTGGCAGATCGTGGATGGAAATAGCCTTCCAGCCACCCTCCCCACTCTGCTCCAGTGCAGATTGTTTAAGGATGCCACTGCTCCTTGTTTAAAAGGAGAGGTGTCTGAAAAGCATCCAAAAATGACATCTGCTGAACCAGGCAGGGGCAGCCCCTTCCCCCACCGTTGGAGCTACATTTGACTGCTAACCCAAACAGCTGGAAGTTGGAGGGTGGGCACTAACCCCAGGAACGCTAAAGGCACTTGTTTCCCTAAGGCTTAGGAGCCAAGGCTCCCGCGCGGCTCTAGGCTCCGCCCAGGAATGTGCTCAGAAAAAGTAACTCTCATAGCAGGGACAAGGGGGAGTGGCAGGGGGCGGCACGGACTCCCTCCCCTCAGGCTCATCACCTTGTATCAGGGTCAGCTACATCTTTCTGCTATCCCCCCTAACTAGGACCCTCAGGGCATATATCCCCACCCCCACCCCAAGTACGCCTCGGAGCAGGGATGATGGCTCATCCCGACCTTCGTGCACGAAACAGCAAAAAGTCCTTGTCTGGATTTTCAAGCCATTTTATTAATCCAATCATACAAAAGACCCCTCTCCCATCACCACACCCCTGCCACCCCCACTTGCTTTCCGAAACAGTGAGGGACTAAGCAGACATTCCCACAGGAGCCACTTTACAAAATGCTGACATGGGGGAAGGCAGAACAAAAATAGCAACAGATAAAAGGGGCAAACAGAACCACAAACACAACACAAAGCTGAACAGCAGAGGGCTGTTCTCTCTGCTGTTTAGAGTCAGGGCGGTGGGGGTGGGGGGAGACACACTGGAGGCCAGAGGCCGCAGGCCACCCCTTCTGTCACACAGCCTCGAAGGCCACTGGCTCCCCCTGGGTAGGCAAATTGAGTTCTGCAGTATTACCTGTCTTCTCTGCATACACTAGTAGGGTCCAGGCAACCACTAACTCCTCCCAGGCCTGCCTTCCCCACCCCATTGAGGAAGGCGTGCATGAGCTTTCAGATCAGTTGTGAGGGGATCCTGAGCAGGCCCCAGGCCCACCTCTGGTAGGGAGTGCTTTAAAACAAAAGCAAAGCCCTGTACCGGACTCTGGCTGAGAGAAATGAGTACTGTAACACGAGGCCCAGAAGATATAACAAAGAGCAGGGAAAGAGAGAAAACACCCAAGCTCTGAACTGCATTTCAGTACCTTGGCAATGAGGGTCTTGCTGCCTCTCCCACCCGCAGGTGTGACAGGGATCCTTTTATCATAAGAAATGAGGTATAAGGGCTCTGTGCCCTTTCAAGCTTTCCTTCAATCGAGCCAGAGGTGGGGGAATAAGGGCACCAGAAGTTGAAGACCAACGCTAAGAACAATGTGCAACAGATGGGCAGGATGGGGGGAGGTGGAAGTACAGGCTTCCAGGCCTGCCCAACTTTAAAATACTCTGGTCAGACCACCTACCCCAATTTTTGGCAAAAAAAAAAAAAAAAGTCATTAGGAGAAAAGCTCGAGAGAGGCTGAGAAAAGGACCAGTGACTTTGGTATGAGGGAAGTACGTCCTGACAGCATCTCTTACCTACTGTCTTGAAGCCCCAAACTACCAAGAAAATGCCATGGCCAAGAACTCTCGTTTCTTCAAGCTATTTGGTTCTCTGAGTGGGGAACAGCTGAGCAGGTTTTGGAGGAATAAGGGGAAAGGAGGAAAAGGGGCACATCCCTTTTTATTCCCTAAAGCTGTCCCTCAGAGCCCAAGGAAGGGCTATTGCAGGGAATGGGAAGAGACTCGAGCTCCTCTGGCCAGAAACGTTTAACACTTGACTCCAAAGACTAAGGCTGGAGCTGTGGGGCTAGAATGAGGAGCATTAGGCACAGGTGTTGGGGATGTCCATCATCTACAGAAGAGACACCTCCGCCTTCCAGATCTTCCTCCAGCCTCTTTTCTCTTGCAGCCATACCCCTTAGAGGTTTCCAGAGACAGCCGACAAAAAATGGCTCTGCTCGGCAGGGCTTTGGTTTCCTGGATCTCTTGTAGGTCTCAACGTGAAAGTTTCCAGAACAGTGAGCAATCCAGGCTCTCATGCCTGCCCACCTCAGTTCCTCTTCTGACCCCAGGAGCCACTGTTTCTGCTCCAGGGGGATGAGAAGCCAGTGGAAATGAGGACCAAGAGCCAGACACGAAACAATCACCCTGGAAAAGCAGGAAGGAAATGTATGCACTTCCCTGGGTCACCTCACCAGTATCACCCATCGTTGGCAGCCACCAGCTGCCCCATGCCCTCACGGATATAGACAGACTGGATCTCCTTGGTCTTGAGGCAGAGATCGCAGGCCCAGACTGCAGAAGCTTCAGTGGTCAGCAGCCCATAGGCGCTCTCAGTCATGCCTGTACACTCTCGGTGGAACCACTTCTGGCAGGAGGCCTCACACAGAATGGCATCCTGGTCGTCGTTCACCTCACTCCGACAGGCACCGCATGGATACACCAGGCCTGGAGGAGGCTGGGGCCCTGAGCCCCCACCTGCCTTGCCAGGGGGTGCTAGACTGTTGGCATCTGGAGTGCCCCCACCTCGCCCACTGCTGTTTGGGGGGAAGCTGGGCTGATTCCCATTAACAGCAGCAGCCGGGGAGCCTGAGTGGGGCTCCTGAGGAAAAGCAGTGGGAGCAGGTGGATTCAAGGGCTTGCCCCCATCCTCACCACCAGTGCCAGGAAAGCCAGGGTCCGGACCAGGAAAGGGACTTGTGGTGGGGGGCAGGCTGGGGAGCCCCTGACCGGGTCTCTGAAGAGAAGGGCCAAAAGGTGCCCCTGGCTGGGCAAAGCGCTGGGGGAGAGAAGGAGGGCCCAGCTCCCCTCTGGGAGGTTGCCCCATGGTGGGTGAGATCATGGGGCCAAACCCCCCAACCGGGCCTGGCATCATCTGCCCACCAGGAGGGCTAAAGTTTTGACCCAGAGGCTGGTTGAAGGGTTGGCTAGAAAAGTTCATGTTGCCTGGGGGTGGGTAGCCAGGGCCCTGGGGGGGCATGTTGAAAGCAGGGCCCATAGGGTTGGGAGGGAAAGGGGGGGGCTGTCGACGAAGAGGCTGGGGTCCCCCTCCACCTCCAGTGCCGTAGCCTGGGGGTACTTGGCCTGCCATACCCCCCTGTACACGGAAGCCTCCAAAGGGGACAGGACTGCCAAGGAATGGAGGGGCTGCGCCCCCCACCTTAGGGGCTCCGAAGTCATCCTCAAAAGGGTTGGATGCAACCAGATGATCCACCATAGGAGTCGGGGGTGGTGCAAACTCTGTCAGATGTGAATATGCAGGGCCCTAGTGAGGAACAGATAAGGGAAACGGGGTCATGGAGGGCGGCGTAAGGCTAAATCAGGAAGAGTACCAGAAATATGGTACACATTTTGGAGGCTGGTTCCAGCCAGCTCAGGTCTAAAATCAAGATGGACCTTAGAATACAATAGAGAAACAGAGGGTGGAGCACAGTGCAGTAACTGTGTTTTGAAAACAGGCATAACTATGCTGGAATCCCAGCTCTGACACTGAATAACCTCAAGACCCTCTGATTCCTTATTTGTAAAAGAGCCAACTGCCCACCTCCCAAAACTGATAAAGCACTCTAGCATAACCCCTGGCACCCAGAAAAAGCAAGTGATAGGTGTTATCATGAGAAGGGAACGAGGACAGGAAAAATGGGAGAGGAAGGTTCTAAACCTGACTGATAAGGTCTTTGATCAAATCATCTCATTTTTGTTATGAAGTTAAAGGAAAGGACCAGAAAAAGAGCAAAAGAAGACCGTTTCCTCTTCTCCCTGTACCTGACCGAGATACAAACACTGGAGTAACAGAGTGGAGCAGAGAGGCAGAGCCTGCTAGGAATTCTGCCCACCAGCCGCCATTCACCTGAGTGTTTGACTTCCTTCGCTTCTTTTCTGGGCTCTTCATTTGCAAACCTGGAAAAGCAGCAAAAAGCAAAAACAAACAAGTTTCCCTGAGGTTTCCCCAACCTCCCTTCTCTTAGCCATGCTTGCAGGAACTCTTCTAAATTGAAAATACGCTTACTTACTTACTTACAACAAATAAATACTAACAAAGGTGTAATACGAAAAGTAAATTACCACACTTTCAGCTGCCTCTTCCTTTAAATGAGACATCCCATTTCTTGACACCCTCAAATTCCCAAGTGACTCCTGAAATTCCACGTGCCTCCAAACCCTAGGGTCCTCGATTCAGGACAGCTGCCCCTAAGCCCTGGAGGGCTTCACCCACACATCTTCCGATCCCTCGGCCTAAGGACTGCCGCCTCCCCCGACCCGAGCAGTCTCCCTCCGAGATCCCCAAGTCCTCGGCTTCTCCAGCCCCCAGCCCTCTCAGCCCTCTCACCGGCCTTGCCCTGCTTCCTCCCGGTGCTGGGCGGCGCAGGGGGCGGTGCGGGGCCGCCACCTCCCTCCAGCTTGTCCGGTGGGGGCGGCGCCGAGGCGGCCATGGAGTGGGGGACCCGGGTCAACGGCAGCGGGGGACGGACGCGCCCTCGGGTCGCACCATCGCCCGGAGAGGGTGTCGGGGGCAGCACAGGCCCCCGCGCTGTGGCCACCCAGAGTGCAGCAAAGAGTAGGCACCGAGCTGGACTGGTGAGAGCGCGTTCGTCCCAGCCCCACTGCCTGTCCGCGGCCCCAGCCACCGGAACCGGAACTCGGCGTGGCCGCCACCACTGAGCAGGCTAGGGGCGGTGGGGCCTGGGCTAGACCTTCGCAGAACTCCGCCAGGGGGCAGGGCCGTACCACTGCATGACCTGGGGGGGGCATGTACGGTAAGGCAGTGTCAAGGGCCCAGCTCCTGGGGCAGGCGGCAGCCGGCTACCCACCCCTCGGCTGGACCGTACCATCCAGGGTTGGAGGGCCGCGGCGCCAGGTCCGGCCGCTCGGACCGTGGGCCCCCGTTGCAAACGGGAACGTCGTCCCAGACGGTGGTCCCAAAGGTGTCACCCTGTCGCACCCTCCCGGTGCACCCCAGTGCTCGCGCGCGGCCAACAGCTCGAGCGAGGCCAGACGGACTCGCCGCCAAGAAGGACCCATAGCGAACAATAGGTAGCGACAGTGACTGAGAGGCTCAGGTAGAAGAAATATGGATTTTAATGAAGATTCTTTCCCTTTGGTATAAGTGAGACCCGTGAAATCATCCAAACAACAAAAAGGAGGCGAGGGTTCAGTAAATTGTCCATTACAGACGGGTCTGGGCCGGCTTCTACATCGTTGTAGCTGCCCCAGACTCTATCGGTAACTGCAGGTTTTAAGTTTCCCTGCCCGCAACCCACCTGGTGAAACTAACGCCCATTCAGCAAGACTTCCCCCAGCCAGCCTTTCCGGTAACAGGCCCAAGTGCTTCTTGTCCTATCTCAGAATGGACTTCTGACTTGGGACTCAGAGAAAATATAGTGCTGCCGGCCCCAACCGCCTCACAGGCTGGGGTGAGAAATGCCAATAGTTGTAAAAGGGCTTTGAAAAGTCAAAGAGATGATGTATAAATGTGATCTACTACCATTATTTTGTGCTCAAGAATAAGCCATGAAAAACAGGAAAGTAAATCTACAACCCTAAAATATATGCATAAAATAAAAAATAAATGCAGTTACAAATCTATAGATGGTATTTGGGGATTGTCTACTGCTTTTGAGTCTCATCGCCCAGTCCTGCCTCCACAAAATCCATCTGGGAGAGCTAACAGTTCAGGGGGCCCAAATTCAGTCACCGCCCCCCTCCCCACCACCCTAGCACAGGGAGGCAGGATGGAAGATACAGGAGGAAGGGCTACACTTTGGCTGTAGAGTATAACGTGCATGCAACATGGAAGGGGTGGGGATGAATGACAAGTATATACAGACCCCTGGGGTCAGGAGCTCGGGCCAGGAGGCACTGAAGAGAGGAGTCCATCTCCCCCCTGCCCGAGAGGGGGGCTCTGGGGAAACCTGCGTATGCCCAGGGAGAGGGAACAGCTGCCACCCCTGCCTCTGTTCTCCCAACCTCAACTGGAGGGGGTGCTGAGCAAAGAGAGGACAGGGTGCCAGAAGCCAAGGTCTCAGCACCCCTATCCTTGACCTCAGGGGCCGGAGAACTCTCTGCATAAAATACAGTATCTTAAGAACAAGGAGATGGTCAAAGGCACAAAGTTTAAACACTGGGAAGGGAGGGCTGTTGCAACGGGCTGGAGTACCCTGAGCCCGGGGTAGACCACAGGTGCAGTTTGTTCCCCGTTCCCTGGGAGGGTGACTGCCTATCACCACAGGACACTTTTCAATGAGGCACACGGCCCAGGCCTTGAGCACCCACCTTCTTGAGGAAGAGGGTATCGGGTTGGCACAGAAAAGGCCCTGGGAAGGGGGCCACTCTAGGCTAACACTTTGGTGAGGTGTGGGGAGAAGTAGGATTCTACCCCAGGCTCCCGACTCATACCTTCTCCCTGAGCTGGATGCTAAACCCAGTGTCCACACTACCCCCAGCTCCTACACAAGGCCAAGCCCACAGGACACTCCAAAGTGAGGTCCTGAGAGGGAATAGTGGAAGGGGTTGAAGGGCGTCTTCTGAAAAGCACCTGGGACAGATCACAGTTTCCGCTCCACAGGTTGCTGTAGACACAGTTCGCTGCCCGCAGAGATGATGGGCAAGTGATTGTCCATGTGGTAACTGATGAGGTGACTGACACTCTCAAAGCGGTGATCCTTTGTCCGAACCTGGGAAGTAGGGAGAGGGTTGATTCAGGTGAAGAGTCAAATAAGACCTCAGCCCACAAACCTGGAGAAGCTGCAATATTCAGGAAGGTTGAGAAAGAAGGAAAAGATGCCAGGTGGTAGGAGGACCATGGAAATGGGAAGGTCATGAACTGGGAAAAGGCCAGGGGACATGAGAAATTGTGAAGGGTATCTCCTCCTCCCTTGACCTGGAGGAAGGTGGCAAGTCTCAGGGGAAAATATGCAGTTCAAAAAGGACGTGGGAAGGAGGCCGAGATTGCTGTAGCGGAGAGAGCAAGGTCATGACAGGCAGTGGACGACTACAAATAAGAGAAAGGACACTGATCTGAGCCCTAAGTCTGGAGGAGGGAGGGAGCCCATGACTCCCTTACAAGAGGAGACTTGGGGTGTCTAGTTTAACCATGTGACACTGAGCACAACCTCTCCAGGATGCTTACCTCATTTGTCAAAAAAAAAAGGGGGCTCAGGTAAGATAAGCACCTTCTAGCTCTCCTGGGCATAAAGTCGGGGGATTTGAGGACTGGCCAGGATCAAAGAGAACACAGCTCCAGCTCAAGAATGTGAGAAGGGAAGGAACCCTAAGCTGCTAGACGGGAGATGCCAGGCACCTTGAGAGCAGAGGAGGCCCCTATAGAGGTGCCCAGCTGGAAAAATCTAAGAAGCAACAAGGGAAGGAACAGGGCTGCACAAGAGGGTACTGTGCCTTCCCTTGTGCCACCCCCACCCATACCCCTGCCACACTCACCACACCCTCAGGGTCCACCAGTAGCAGGTGCTTGGGCTGCCCACTCTGCAAGCCAGTGAGCACATACTGGCCAGGTGTGGTCGTGCTTTCCCGCACCAGGAAGTCCCCGTTGAGCTGCAGCAGGGCCTCAGCCTCCCGCCGGCTCAGCTTTCCGTGGAACCAGGGCTCCCCTCGGAGCTGCTCAGCCATGGCCATTGACTGGAGAGGTGGAGGCACCCGAAGGGCATCTTCAAAGGGCTCTGGGGGTGCAGAGAGAGGACTAGGAGAGGCAGGTGGCACAACACACGCCCAGGACCCAGAACTTTCAGGGAGGAGAGACCAGGAAGGAAGGAACAGAAGGAAAGAAGGAAGACAGAGATGCAGAATGGAAAGAGAAGCACTCACTCATGTCAAAGAGGTCTCGAGGCGCACTGCCATTGACAGCAAGACTGAGGGGTCCAGCCCCACCCCCTGCTTGCCGGGCCTTGTCCAGGTTCTGGACGTTGACATACGAAGGATCATCAAAGAGCTCTCTGCCTGCCGAGGAAAGGGAGGCTTTCAGTGACCCCAGCCGTGCCTCCTGCACCCCCGGTTCTGTCCTTCTCAGCCCCCTCCCTACCTGGGCAGGGTGGCGGAGGTGGTATCTGCTTGTGGGCTTCCGGGTCTCCGCCAACAGGCTGCCCCACAGGCTAAAAGTGACAAAAAAATAAGGTAAGACCAAAGGCCCTAACCAGCCATGTCTAACCTGGGCCCAACCCACCTCCATCCAAGCAACTTACCAGAGTAGCTCCCAGGTGGCTGGGGGTCTGGGCACTGGGCAGAGTGGGTCGAGCAGGCCCCGGTGCGGCTCCTTCCCGAAGCCTCATGTCTACCACTCCCCCAAGAGGGGGTTCCTTCCCCGGGAAGTCATTATAATATTGATGGTCAGGTGGCTCTTCCTCCTCCTCATCCCAAGCTGAGCCATCAAAGCCAGCCATCCTGTGAGGAACAGGATGGAATGAAGAACATTGGTGGGAGGATGGAGAGAGGAGAACAGAAAACGGCCATGTACTGGGATTCCCTTCAGGATGGGCCCTAAGCTGGGTGTTTTATATATAATTATTTTGTCCTCCCTCTACCCCTATAAGGTAGGTAATATTTCCTTCCCCAGCTTCATAGACGGAGAGAATGAGGGTCAGAGGTGTAAACATTTGCCCAAGGTCTCACCACAAAGGTGGTTCAGCTGAGATGTAAATTCAGATTTGACTTTAAGGTTCATGCCCTTGATCATTACACTGCCTCCTTCAAGAGGGAGGGAAACACTAAGCAGCAGGGAGGGGGTGCTCCAGGATATTTTAACCTCCTGTAAACACTCGATACCTACTGGCCTGAGGAGAGGTATCTCAGCAAAGAGCCATCCTCCCTCACTCAAACTTTCAATGGCTTCTAGAGGAAGGAAAATCAAAGAACTAAGGATGGAGAAATGGGTAAGAGGGACAGGCCATATACAAGGCAGCTGGGAATGGAAAGCCTATCTAGCCGTGGAAGAGCTGCAGCGTGAGGTTCTAGATTACAGCTCCCCCACAGGCAAATGAGGGAAGAGCCAGCCCTGCAGCAATCTGGGCCTCCAAAAGACTTTCCTGAGAGCCACCGGAAATTTAAGAATAGCAGGAAGTGGGAAGCAGGGGCGCACAGGTTATTTCCTTCCCTGAACCATTCTGAGCTCCAGGGTGAGAATAGCAGACCTACTTTCCCAATTCAGGTCTGGGGCCCAAGAGCTGCCCCTCCCTCTTCACCCGCTCACCTGTCATGGGGGGTGACCAGCTTTGGGGGGTTCCTGAGGTATTGTTTGAATCGCAACTCGAAGGCCTGGCCGATGGTGCTGATGACATCCTGAGCAAGCCCTTCAGGACACTCCAGGATGTGGCAGGCTGGGGGCACAACAGAGGCTGCCAGTGAGCTGTGAGGCGGGGGCGCTGGGACGAGGCGCAGATAAGAGCACTCATCCCCCTCAGCGGGGGCCCCTGCTTAGCTCGCGCGGCCCTGCTCACCTGCCTCAGGGACAGCCGGCCCCACCTGCGCTCCCCACTACGCCTCACCTCTCTGATTCACCGGGTCTTTGGCAACATAGGCGACATACTCAGCTGTGTCCTGGGGTGAACAAAGTCGGAAGAGGTCAGTTAGCTAAATGTGACAGCCCCACTTCACTCCTGACCCCTACATCGCAGTTC